ACCCACACCCACATGCCCACACCCACACACTCACATGCCCACACCCACATGCCCACATCCACACGCCCACACCCCCACACCCACACCCACACACCCACACACCCACACCCACACGCCCACATCCACACACCCACACGCCCACATCCACACACCCACACCCACACACCCACACGCCCACACCCACACGCCCACTCCCACACATACAAATCCACCCACAAATTATAATTATTTGTTAATAATAATACACACAAATACATAAATTAGTATAAACGTGTTTTAGAAAAGGACACAGAGATATGGAGGCCATTTCTCTCTCCCTGGTGGATGTCCACTTTGCCATCTGCCCCGCCTCTTAGCCCCTGGGTCCACCGCTAGCCCCTCCCCTAGCTGCTTGCCCTGCAGGATGTCCTTGGCTCTTAAACACAGGGCCTTACTATGTAGTTTTGGGTGGTCTGCACATGTTATGTAGCCCAGGCTGGCCTCTGACTCACAGAGGTCCACCTACCTACCTCTTTCCTGAGTGCTGAGTAAAGGCCTATACAACCGTGACCATTCAATTTTTGTTTGAGTATCTGTTTATGGTTTTTGTTTTTTGTTTTTTGTTTTTTGTTTTTTGTTTTTGTTTTTGTTTTTGTTTTTGTTTTTTTAGACAAGGGTTTCTCTGTGTGGCCATGGCTGTCCTGGAACTTGCTCTGTAGACCAGGCTGGCCTCAAACTCATACAAACTCTCCTCTCTCTGCCTCCTGAGTGCTGAGATTAAAGGCATACAACACCAGTGCCCAGCAAGAATCCACTCTTGATTGTTCCTAAGACAGGTTCTCCATATGTAGCCCATGCTGGCCTGGAACTCACAATTCTCCCAGGCTGCCTGACTGAAATGTACAGAACTTGGGTCCTCTGGAAAAGCAGATGCTCTTAACTGCTCTCCCCACCCCCACCCTGGCAGATCCTTAGCCTGGGGAGCCTGAAGAGATCAGTCTGCTCCCGACGACGTTGATGTGAAGAACATTCCATGTACACTCTCATTGGCCTCTAAGCAGTTTTCTGTCCCTGCAGTGGCCTCATCCCACCCTCCCCTCCACAAAAAAACAAAAACAAAAACAAAAAAACACATAGCCATGTTGGCACCAATTTCCCAAAATCTCATCACCCCTGCCCTCCCTCGACCTCTTTTGGGGACGCCTTGGCTACTATGCCACACATAGAGCTGGCATGCTTCGCTCTAGTTTGCTTGCTTTGAGACAGAATCTCAGTGAATAGCCCAGGCGGACCACATATAGATCATCCTGAGTCCACCTTCCCAGTGCTGGAAGTCCCAGACGCTGCCTCCCTGAGCTGACAAGTGAAAAATTTAAAACATCCAGATAGTAGCCACCAGGATCTGTATCCCTACTGTGTGACAAGCTCACAAGTCTGGGCTCAGGGTAGCATCAGATGGCTCAGGGGTCACAACACAGGATGGGTTATGACTGCTCATACAGAGAAAAATCCTAAAGGCCTTGAAGACATGAGTAAGAAGCAGGACTCGGGCTTTAAAGGCCTGCTGGCAGGGGTCGGTGCTGGCAGGGGTCGGTGCTGGCAGGGGTCGGTGTGGGAATGGGGGGGTATACAGAGAGGACAGGTGGGACGCCTCGAGGAAAAAGGTATACACACATACAAAAAAAGTTATGTTTTATTATGCTGATGATCATCACACAAGGTCCACACTAGAATTTCTAAGTATGGTCCTAAGCCTATCTCCTCAGGGCTGCTCACCCGTGTGTCATAACTTAGCTGAAGATCAGGTCAGAAGTTTCTGACAGAAGTCTCTGATTCAAGGGTCAGGATCCTGGGGGAGACTTTCCAGCCACAGGGCAGATCAAGGTGTCATCTCTCCAGATGTGCAGAGCAGAGCACAGTTGGCATCATGGGGTCTGTGTCTGGTTATCCCGAGTGAGTGATGTTCCTGGGTTCTGGTTCTCAGGTTGTCAGCCACCTTGGGTGTGGTGGGGATCCTGACTGAGCTGTTTGCACAGGTCTAAAAGGCATTGTTTTACCATGTTCCTTACAGGAGGACAGTGCAGCCATGGGACCAGGCTCCCTCCCTGAAAGCTGGCCGAAAGTCAGGGCCTCGTGGCACCAAATCCAGATCATATAGGAAAAGTGTCCCTAGAAAGACCCTTGGGAGAGCCACCCAGGAAAAGGCCTGTCACAGGTTTCCAGAGGTGCCGGTCAGTAGTCATGGACTTCTTGGAACCAGACAATATCAGGTATACTGGGGTCTTGTGGGGTTACCCCCACACTACAGGGCTATACCCCTGACACTAAAGTTCTAGAGCCTTCCACCCCAACTACCTCTCCCTCTTGGTTCAGCATAGGACCCATCCAAGAGCTGTCTCCTCTTGAGTCTTCTTGGGTCAGGCTTGACCTGGGCCAGCCCATGCAGCAGAAGGAAGCCACTCTGCTTGTTCCTGGTCCAGTTCTCAGCCCTGTGGAAACAAAGCAAACCAGTGGGACCCACACACATTTTCCACCCACAGAGAGCTGCGGATGTGAAAGGTCTGGAACCACGCCACCTGGAGGAGTCCCGGCTCCATACTTATTATGGGCTGGTTGGTTGTGGGCAGGTGAGGGGACCACAGTGCTCCTCTCCTCCACCCCTGAGGGTCTGGGGAAGGATTAAGGAGCTGAAGCAGAGCCCGGCAGGGGCTGTCAGTGGGGTGCTGGCTTAGCAGGCAGAAATCCAGTCCATCCCCAGCATAGCAGTGAGTACACTGTTCACTGCGGCTGTGAGCCTGAGGATAGGGCTGTGGGAGGCTGGGCCTCTAGGTCTGCTTCTCTTCCCAAAGAAAAGCAGTCCCCAGCTTTTGCTGAGTTGCTTTGCTGTGTGGAGACTACATTTCCCAGTTTCCTTGGCCATGTGACCAAGCACTGGCCAATGGGATGTCAGCAGAAGTGGTATGAGCCCACTTCCTAGAAGTTTTCTTTAAAAGCAGAGGGTAGAACACCCCCACCCCCCACCCCCACCCCATTCTCATCCCCCAGACGGATTTCTCTTTCCTTGACAAGAATGGGAAGCTGGAGCAGGAGCAACCATTGTATACTTCGTGGTTAAAAGCTGTAAGATTTCGTTTGATTTGGTTTTGAGTCAATGTCTCTGTAGCTGGCCTGAAACCCTCAACAATTTGAGACTCTGCCTCAAAACAATTCAAAAGAAAAAATACCAACAAAAAAGTAAAAAAGGTGGACAGGGATGTAGCTGGGCCAATGGTATTCACCTACATGCACAAGGTCCTGGGCTCAAAGGAAGGAGGGAGGGAGAAGAAGGGGGAGGCAGAAAGGGTTTTTGGGTACATGCATTTTAGATTTGAGACTCTCACAGCCTCTACTTTCCCAGCAGCCCCTAGTCTAGTTGGGGAGAGGACCAGTTACCATCAAATCAAGAAAGAACGGGCTTTCTCCAAAGCACTGAACAGAGAGCAAGCCCAGCCTGTCTATGCAAAGGGCCAGAGGTCTGTCTTCAAAGGAGGGAACATCACAATGGGGCACTGAAAGAGGCATACAAGACTGACCACAATGTTAGCAAGAAAGCTACCTGCAGGAGACAGGGTGACAACCTTGTTTGTTCTTCTGATGCCTCACTCATCCTTGGGGGTTCACAGACATAGCCAACCCATGTGGAGGCACTGACAAACCAGAACAGTGGTCCCTACGAGGGACTTGAGACCCCAGGCTGGCCCGGATTTATCCTTGGGCTTTCACCCCACCCCAATACATGCTATGACACATGCCTGGTGGGCTCCCTTGGCTTCCTGGAGCCCAAGGCCCTTCTCAGCGTCAGTCAGAGCCAGGCTGGTCCTACAAGGCACCAATAGTCACCCTGGGTCTGAATCCCTGGAGTCCACAGCTCTTCGGACTCTCAAGTCCATCCTGGGCAGGTGTGTCTGTGGTGGTGTGGGGCGGGGAGGAGTGGATTCCGCAAGGTGCCCAAACAGAGCTTGCCCGCCAGGGCAACCACATGGGTGTTTGAACTGAGGGAAGAGCAAACGCTAGATGGGCCTGCATGCACAGCCACAGTCCCCTTGTCTGGAGTGCGCAGAGGTGTCAGAGGCAGAGCGTCCCTGCAAGGCCTGGAATGTTGCGACCACTGGTTCCAGGGTCCTGGGGTGCCCTTGGATCCTTCTCTGTCTTCCCCCATTCTTCTCCCAACCCCGCGGGCCTGGGAAGCCCAGGCTGCGAGGCTCACACTTTCAAGTCGGCCTGGGAGTCCCCCGGGCCGCCCTCCCCAGCAAGGGCCAGGACATCAAAGCAGCCGCTGCGGGATCCGGTTGCGGAAGGGGCGGGCGGGCCTTGGAGAGGTGGCTTCGCTGGGCTCCCTTTCATCCCGGCTGGGAGCCGACCCCCCGGGAGGTCGCTCTGGGCTTCGGCGAGTCCCTACACGCCAGGGGAGGAGGACTTGGGGCTGCAAAGCAGCACAGAGCTGTGTGACCTCCCGCATGCCACGCCACTGCTTGTCTCTGGGCCTCGGCTTCTCCAGCTGCCTGCCTCCCTGACCAGCAATCTCAGGCTCGGGCTGACCTCTGGGAGGGGTCTTTTAAGAGGTTAGCGCTGCTTTTTTTCTGTACAGACCACTCTAGCTGCCCACACACTGCCGATCCCCGTGCAGTGTGCAGGTACAATATAACCTCATATCCTTTTTCGGTTGAGCCTCTGCAAGTTCAGAGAGGGCAGGTGACTTGCCCCCAGGTCACACAGCCAGTGGGGAAAATTGATGACCAGTAGGCTCTGTCTGACCTTGACGCGTGACACTTGCAATAGACAACCCTTCCAGAGATACACAGGGAGAAACTGAGGCACTGGGTCACACAACCTGGTAAAAGCAAAGTTGGGTGCCAAGCAGGATGGCACTTCTGGCCTCAGACCCTAGAGACTTCATCACAGACAGCCTCTGGCAGAGACAGGCAGGGCTGAACCCCAAGCAGACCCTATGCTCAGTTCTAAGCACGAGGGCTGGAGGAAGGTCTGGTCATTCTGCCCCCCCCCCCCCAGGCCACTGGGGAACACAGAAATGACCAAGATCAAGTTATGGTGGGAGTGGGAATTACAGGGAGGCAGAGACAGGCAGATCTCTTTAAGTTTGGGTTTGAGGCCAGCCTGATTTACACAGTTCTGGGTCAGTCTGGGCTAAACAGTGAGACTCCATCTTTAAAAAAAAAAAAAAAAAAAAAGCAAGGTGTTGTTGTCGCTGCTGTTGTTGTTGTTGGTGGTGGTGGTAGTATCTAATCCCAGTACTCAGAAGGCAGAGGCAGACAGATCTCTTTAAGTTTGAGGCCAGCCTGGTCTACAGAGCAAATTCCAGGACAGCCAGAGATACAGATAGAAACCCTGTCTCCAAAAGCAAGCAAGCAAGCAAGCAAGCAAGCAAGAGGGAAGAGGTTTCACTGGAAGGAAGCCACAATTAGTACTGGTTTGTCTGGATCCTGACCAGTTAGTTTCCCTGTGTGCATGTCCACACGTGTGCGAGGGCGCACACACACACACACACACACACACACACTCCGTTTTACTGCACTGACCCAAGGCTGTGGTGACCCCACTCACTGTTAGGCTGTGGTTACAGAGCCCTTTAGGGTCAGGCTCACCGCTGGGGAGGGACAGTTTTCCCAAGTCTCCCGCGGGGCTCCAGGTGCATCCGGGTTGGTGGGATGGGACAGCTCCTCCGGCTGGAGATTTAAAATTCCTTCCTGGAAAAAATCAGATAATCACGGAAGTCAGATAGCGTGAAATGAAAGTGAATCCTGCAAGCCCAGAGGAGCCTGGCAGAATCCTCAGACAGCAAATGCTGAGTTCCGCCCCCCCCCGCCCCGCCCCGCCCCGCCCCCGCCCCCAGCCTTACAGGCAGGGAAACTGAGACCCAGGATATGAGACGCTCACAGATAGGGTCCAGCCTCTTCCCTGCTTATGCGGAGGCAGGCTGCGTCTCAAGGGTTCATCGAGAGCTGTCCCTCGTGCTTCAGGGATGTGTGCCGAGCTTTGTTTTGAGTGTGAGAAAGCTCCACTGAACCCATGCTCAGTCAGATTCAATGGGGCTGTCAAGTACAGCATACACGGTAGGGAGAGCCACATATGCAAAGGCCCTGGGGCATGGATGAGTTTGGCTCAACAGCATAGCATACAGAAGCCAGAGGCCTGCTGAACATGAACATGTACAGAGAACATGGGGTGTGGTGGTAGGCAGAAGCTGATGAGAAAGAGGAGGCAGAGGAACCACTATGGGATTTGGAGACTGGCCCAGAGGATGCTGGCACTGGATACTATAATGGTGTCAAGCAATCGGGTATCTCCAAGCTGAGCATTCAGGACTTCACCACACTGCAGATCAACCTGGCTGGGAGCAACTGCAGGGGGCTGGCCAGTCTTCTGAACCCTGCTCCGGCAGCACCTAACCACCAAAGGAGGGAGATCAAAGGGGGCATTTGCAAGTTAGATTCAAGCCTCGGGAGCCGCTGGAAATATTATTAGGGTCTCCACTCTACAAGCTCTGGAGATCCCAAAGGAGGGAGGCATTCCCTTCCCCCAGCAGGGATGCCTGCCCTGGGTCCTGCTAGAGTTGCAGCCTCAGCCTGGGGCTAGCACTTCTGCAAGGGGCAGAAAGCCCTCCTCCTCCATTCTGGGGACAAGGTTGTGCTGCTTCTCTGGAGTGTGGACAGCTGGTGGTGGGGTAGACAAAACACCCTGTCTGCAGTGGGGGAGGGGCAGGGAGAGAGGACAGAGGGAGAGGGAAGAAAAGAGGCAGAAATACCAGAGAAAGGGTGAGGGAGGAGGGAGAAAAGGGAAGGAGAGGGGAGGCTGGAGGGAGGGTGGGAGGCAGGACGGTTCGAAGGATGCTGTGGGCAGGAGATGGGGCACTGGGCTGGGAGAAAGATAACAGGGGGAGGAGGGGTGGTCCCCACCGTCTGTCACCTTCCTCACTGTGTGTCAGCACCACTTCTTGCTGGTCCTTCCCTGGCATCTCCAGCTGGGTCTCACAGAGACTGCAGTCTCCAGGCTAGCCAGCCCAGGTCTCAGTGCTTAGCCAGGGCTTTCCCCCCAGGGTTCCAGGCCTGACCCAGGAGGTTGTTAAGGGGCCATGTGTACATGTGCGCTCGTGCATGCACAATTGTGTGACTTGTGAGGGTTGTGCCTGTCCCAGACAGCCTGCTTGCTTCCTCCATGGGTCGCTTCCTAGCCCTGTGAGTTCTGTGATCCAACCTCTCTGTCCTCAAGCTGAAGAGCGATGATCTGATGGCACCAGACTCTCACCCAACTGGTAGCTGTGGGCTCCTTCAGGGTGTGTGTGTGTGTGTGTGTGTGTGTGAATGTGTGTGTGAGTGTGCCTGTGTGTTTGTATCTGTGTCTGTGTGTTTGTGTGTGTCTTTCAGTATGTGTGTGTGTGTGTGTCTGTGTCTGTGGAGGAAGGTATGTGTGTGTAGGTGTCTCTGTCAGTGTGTGTCTGTGTTAGTGTGTGTCTGTGTGTGTTAGTGTGTATCTCTGAGTCTCTATGTCTATGTGTGTGTCTCTATGTCTATGTGTGTGTCTGTGTATAAGTATATGTCTGTATGTTTATGTGTTTGTATGTTTGTGTCTGTGGTGTTTATGTGTGTGCATGCCTCTGTATGTCTCTGTGTCTCTGTGAATGTGTGTCTGGTGTCTGTGTATGTGGGAGTGTCTCTGTGTGTGTCTGCATCTATGTGTGTGTGTGTCTGTGTGTATGTGTCTCTCTCTGTGTCAGTGTATGTCTGTGTGTGTGTCTATGTCTATCTGTGTGTGACTGTGTCTGTGTGTATGAGTGTATCTGTGTGTTTGTGTCTGTCTCTGTGTGTATGAGATTGTGTGTGTGTATATGTCTGTGTGTATCTGTGGGGGGTGTCTGTGTGTGTCTCTCTCTGTGTCTGTATTGTATGCGTGTGTGTGTCTGGGGGTATCTCTGAGTGTGAGTGTGTGTGTCTAGGTGTGAGTGTGTGTCTGGGTATGTGTGTCTGTATATCAGGTGGTTCACAACCAGGGGTTCCTGACACCTTCTGACCGCTGTGGGCACCTGAACACACATGATGCGCATATATACATGGAGGTACACATATAAATAAAAGCAAAATGAAAGAAACACAAGCATAAGGGCCAGGTGTGGCTGGTGCACACATCTTTAATTCTGGCATCTCAGAGTTGGAGCCAGCCTGGAGTTCAGGATAGCCAGGATTATACAGAGAGATTCTGTCTCAAAAAAGCAAAGCAAAACAAACAAAAACCCCCGAACAAATAAAACACACACACACATATATACACACCCCCTACATACCACACCACACATACATACATACATACATACACACACACACACACACAGTCAAACAATGCTTGCAGTCTAAGGCTAACTGGAGTGGTTGTAGTCCTAGGCTCCTCAGCTATAGAGTTGAGCCTTCCCTGGAGCCTAGACAGGCTGAGTTCCTGGTGCTTATTACTGGGACCTAGTGGAGCAGGCACCTCTCCTACCTGGACACCCTTTCTAGCTCAATCAGGATCCTGTACCCAAATCTTACCTTCTAAGGTGGGGCTCCCCTGCCTGCCCTTGAGGAGAGGACAAAGACACAGAGAGGCAGTCGTGTCCAGTTTCCTGGGTGGATAGAGCCTGCTCTTGACAGACAAGCCATCTTCATGAGTTCATTGGCTCAGCTATGTGACCCCTACATGGTAGCTGCTCCTCTGGTCTCTTGTGAAGTCACCCAGTTCCTTTGCCTCCTAGGTGGCAAGTCTTACAATCAGAACAGGAGCAAGTCTGTGTGGAGGTCTGGAGACATGGCACAGAGAGCTTGTAACTCCACACAGAGCCGACGAGAACTCCCACACTTGCCATGAGACACGCTGGGGCTCAGTGTATCCATCTGAACAGTTCAACAGCCATGGAAACATTTCATCCGGGATCTCATGTGTGCATTTCATGTGCGCTCAAAGCTGGCTTCTTTAAGGATTTTGCATTTGCTTTTTTTGTGCCAACTTTTTATTTTCTGTGTACAACTATTTTGCCTATATATATATCTGTGCACCATATTCATTTCTGGTGCCTGCAGAGGCTAGACCGCAGCACTGGATCCTCTGGAACTGGAGTTAGAAATGGTTGTGAGCTGCCCTATGGGTGCTGGGGACAGAATTTGCTTGTTCTCTGCAAGGGCAGCCAGTGCTCTTAACTGCTGAGCTAGCTACAGCTCTAGGTTTTTGGTTTTGTTTTTCCAAGACAGGGCTCCTCTGTATGTGTCCTTGACTGGCCTGAAACTTTGTTGTGTAGACTAGGCTGGTTTCAAACTCACAGAGATCCACTTGCCTCTGCCTCCTGAAAGCTAGGATTAAATGCATGAGCTACCATTGCCTGGCTCAATATTTGTTTTGTAAGAGAATTTCATGTAGCTCAGGCTGGCCTTGAACTCACAATGTAGCAAAGGCTAACCTTGAACTTCTGATCATCTTGCCTCTACCTCCCAAGTACTGAGATTAAAGGCATGCACCACCAAACCCAGTCTATGAAGTGCTGAGAACTGTACACAGGGCTTTCTGTCTGTTAGCCAAGCCCTGAGCCTCAGGAAACACCTTTGCTTGAAATAAGGAACCCATCCTTATTTCAGTGGTTTTAAACAAGGTCTCATGTAACTCACACTGGTCTCCAGCTCCTGATTCTGTCTTTACCTCCTGAGTGCTGGATTCACAGGTATGGGAAGACCTCACCAGGGAGAGGAGCAGAACAGCCCCAAAGCACATGACACACAACTGCTACACCCACTATGCTACTGGAAACGGATCCCAAAGCTAGCATTTTCCCCTAGCTCCTCTGTGCCTGGGGCCACCTACCAAAGGCCTTATGAAGCACAGTAGGCATGGTGGCACACACTTTAATCCTAACACTGAGGTGGGCAAAGGCAGGCAGGTTTCTGAGTTCCAGGCTAGCCTGGTCTACAAAACAAGTCACAGACCAGCTGAAGCTCCAAAGTGTAGGCCCTGCTCAATCATACTCAGCTACAAAGCAGGATTTATATAAAATCAATGGGCAAATCCTATGCAACAGTGGTACCTCCCCACAGCACTGGGGGCTGGGTTACCGGGCTCCAGAGGCTGGGCCAGGCCTCTCCTCCTGCATCCTGGGTCTCTCCATCATCACACTGTCCTAGACACATGTGCATGCCTTGTAGAGTGAATACTCGTGGATTGGATGGAGGCTGGTGCTCTCTGCCTGACCTGATGTCAGCTAATACCCACAGTCCTGTGACAAGCTCCAGGGTTAGCAGAAAAAGGTCCCACCTTTCTATAGTCTCCAGGGACTTGCTCACCTAATCACACCCCAACCCCTCATGTCAGAGTCAGAGACAGAGTCTACTTCACCTTGCTCACAAGACCCAGCATTGAGGACAGCACAGATTGAGGAAACAGGAAATGGAGGAATGGCCCCAGCAGTTGGCAGGGCTTGTCCTGGGGACTAGCAGGGTGCAGTAGCAGAAGTCTTGCCCTCTGGCCTGGTTCCAGAGCCCGAAGGCAGGAAAAGTAGTGCCTCTCTTCTCACAGCTTGGATGGGGCTCCTGGCCTGCTGCTCAGCAACCCTGCTCCAGTTGCTTAACCTCTCTGTGCTCTGGTTTCTTTACAGAGGAGTGTGCTGCCTACTTCCCCAAGTCTGTCCAAGGGGAGGCGGGCTGAGTGTGAAAGAGGACAGTCCTGGGCTCCTCCGGGCCTTCCAGTTCTTGCAGCCATTGCTCCAGAAGCAGGCTCAGGTCTATTTTACCAGCAGTTTCCTCATTGCTC